CATGTGCCCTGGAGTAGCAGGTAGGTCGTATTGATTTTGAGTAGAGTGTTCTGTATGTATCTGTTAAGTCTAGTTGGTTTCTAGTGTCATTCAGGTCCTCTGCTTCCTTGTTGATCTTCTTTCTAGATGTTCTGTCTAGAACTGAAAGTGGTGTATTGAAGTCTCCATCTGTTACTATAGTGTGGTCTATTTGTTTCTTCAATTCTATCAATGTTTCCTTTATGTATTAGGTGCCTTAATGTTGGTATATGTTTATTATTGTTAAATCTTCTTGATTAATTGACCCTTTTATCACTCTATAGTGTCCATCATTATCTCTTCTGACAGATTTTGTCTTAAAGTCTACTTGGTTTGGTATTAAGATTGCCCCTCCAACACTCTTTGATTATTATTTGCATGGAATATTCATCACCCCCCCTCCATCTTTTCACTTTCAACCTATTTGTGTCTCTAGGTTCAAGATGTATCTCTTGTAAACAACATATAGTTGGATTGTGTTGGGGTTGTTTTAATCCATTCTGCAACTCTGCCTTTTGATTAGCACATTTATCCATTTACATTCACTATAATTACTGACCACCACTCGCCTTTCAATTTGTTGTACTGTGATGGCTTACATGTTGCTGTGATTCTGGAAGCTATGCCACAGGTACTTTAAATACCATGAGGGTCACCATGGTGGATAGATTTCAGATGAGCTTCTTCAAGAAGACAGACTAAGAAGAAGGAGAGACAGACTACTTCCAAATATTTAGTCACTGAAAACCTTATGAATAGCAGTGGAACACTGTCAGCACCAGAATATTGTCAGAGATAGTGCTGGAAGATGAGCCCCTCAGGCTGGAAGGCACTCAGAATGTGACTGGGGAAGAACTGCCTCCTCAAAGGAGAGTTGCTGTGATGATGTGAATGGAGTAAAGCCCTTAGGACCTTCCTTGGCTGCTGGTGCACAACTCAAAGTAAAGGGAAACAGCTGTAAACATCCATTAATAATCAGAACATGGAAAATATGTATGAAGTATGAATTTAAGAAAATTGAAAATTTTTCAGAAATGAAATGGAACACGTAAACATCAAGATCTCAGGCATTAGTGAGCTGAAATAGACTGGTATTGGCCATTTTGAATCTGACAGTCACATGGTGTACTATGCTGGGAATGACAAATTGATGAGGAATGGCGTTGCATTCATCATCTGAAAGAGCATACCAAGATCTGTCTTAAAGTACAATGCTGTCTGTAATAGGATATCCATAGGCCTACAAGGAAGACCAGTTAATGCCATTATGATTCAGATCTACACACGAACCACTAAAGTCAGTGATGATGAAATTGAACAATTCTACCTACTTCTTCAGAGTCAATTGGAATACAGAGGTTGGAAACAAAGAGGAAGCATCAGTAGTTGGAAAATATGGCCTTGGTGATAGAAACGATGCTGGAGAACGCATGATCGAATTTTACAAGACCAATAACTTCTTCATCGCAAATGCCTTTAATAAACAAACAATATAAAAAACAACTATATACATGGACCTCAGCAGATAGAATATACAGAAATCAAGTTACTATATCTGTGGAAAGAGATGGTGGGAAAACTCCATATTGTCAACCAAAACAAGGCCGGGGGCAGACTGTGGAACAGACCATCAAGTGCTCATATGTAAATTTAGGCTGAAGCAGAAGACCAAAGACTTCATTCTGCTCAAATCAACCATCAACACTCATGGAAACAGCTGTCAAGAAATCAAACAATGTATTGCATCAGGCAAATCTGCTGCACAAGACCTCTTTTAAGTGTTGAAGAACAAAAATGTCAGTTTGAAGATTAACGTGCTCCTGACCCAACCCATGGTATTTTCAATAACCTCATATGCATGTGAAAGTTGGCTAGTGAATGAGGAAGACTGTAGAAGAATTGATGCATTTGAATTATGGTATTGGAGAATATTGAAAGTACCATGGACTGCCAAAACAGATCTGTGTTAGAATAAGTATAGCCAGAGTGCTCCTTGGAAGCCAGATGGCCAGACTTTGTTTCTCATACTTCAGACATATTATTAGGAGGGACCTGTCAATGGAGAAAGACATCATGTCTGGTCAAGTGAAGGATCGGAGTTAAAGAGGAAAACTCCCAGTGAGATGGATTGGCACCGTGGCAGCAGCAATGAGCTCAGGTGTAACTGCGATTGTGAGGTTAGCCCAGGACTGGGCAGTGTTTTGTTCTGTTGTGCATAGGGTCACTATGAGTTGGTACCATCTCGATGGCATCTAACAACAACAACATAATTACTGATAAGTTACTTACTTTTGCCATTTTGTTGTTTTATGTGTGTCTTAAGCCTTCTTTGGAGTCCTGGTGTGGTGCTGCGGGATAATGTGCTAGACTGCAAGTTCAGTTTGAGCCAAACTCAGCCGCTCCTCAGAAACACTATGCAGGGTTGCTATGAGTTGGAACTGATTCATTGGCATTAGCATCAACAACAACAAGCCTTCTTTGTGTTTGTCCTTTACTTCTGACTTGCTTTTGTGCTTTGTTGTTAATTGTAGTGGTTACCATGAATATTACATTTAAGAGCTTGTATTTAGAACATTCTAGGATAAGTTGATCTTTTTTTCCTTTTTTTAAAAAAAAAAAAAGTTTCTCTTTACAGAGATAATCTCTAGTGGGTAATATTAAAATAGTCAAACAGTATCACAAGGAGAGGCAAGAAATTCAAATCACCTCTTCTCCATTCCCACATCCATCAATATCAATAGAGCATTCTTTCAGACTTCATTCTGTCTATTCATACATGAAAACAGTTACCTCTACTACACAAATGATGTCATGCAGATCTTGAACTGGCCTTTAGAAAACAAATAAAAAAGGAGGGAGGGAGGGAGAGGCCTAGCTTTGCTAAGGGAACCTGTACCATGGAGGTGAGAGGCAGTGTGGCTCACGGGGACTTCCCAGGGCAGCTGCACTGTGGTGATGGTCCCGGTGCCCTCAGGAGCCAGATGTGAATGTCCTGTGTGCCCACTGTAGGCAGTGGAGAGCCACTGAAGAGTTTTAAGCAGGGAACTGTCATGTTCTGATCCTGGTTTTTAGAAAAGACCCCTGTGGCAGCAGTTGATTGGGACTGAAGCCGATGGGGTCTGGGCAGAAAGGAATTAACCCAGGGAGATGAGAGTGCGGGGACTGAGTCAGCCAGAGAGGAGAGGAGAGGAAGAGGTGGGTTGAGAAGAATCATTGGTGAAGTCAGGGTGGAGTTCCCCTTTGCTAGTGGCAGTGCCCTGGCTGCGTGCACTGAGAGAGGAACCTGGGACTCAGAGGAGACAGGTAACACTGACACTTCCCACCACACCTCCCCGCTCCCCCCCTTGCCCCCATCACTGTATTGGTTACAGAAGTTAAGATGCAGCCATCTCCTCTCATCTTCCACCTTCTTCCAGGGAACCTAAAAATTCTTTACATCCCTTCCACAGGGAGTCAGTCTCTGGCCCAAGGAGCACAGAGAGGGGTCTATCTGTCTGCACACCGGGTTTCTCTGCCAGAGGCCAGGATGAGAGGTGGCCTCTTACTTGGGGCCAGTGCTTTCTCCTAAAGCCTCAGCCCAGTGTTGTAGAGAGAAACCGGCTGCCAGCCCTTGCTTAGCTAAGAGTGTGACAGGTCAGGGTATGGTGGTGGCTCACAGGGAAGCCCAGGGACTGACTGGCCCCCAGGGCTTCCAGGACAGTGGACAGAGGGCAGTTGAAAGAGACAACTCTCCAAACACTCAGCTCCTCCCTTCCTGCCAATTCAGAGCCAGCCCCCACATTTTCCTGGTGATCAGTGGCAGTTTCCTGCCGGCAGACAGCTGGACAAGCACTGAGGGAAAGCAGCATGGTAAACTGAGGGCCAATTGGCAGTGTCCCCACCCCATGTGGCACAGGGTGGCTGGCTTGGCTACTTGATGGGCCCCACCATCTCTGCCCCAGATTGGTCTTTTCTGGACCACAGCTAAGGCATGAGGTGGGGCAGAGCTAAGCCTCCAGTCCATATACTATATCCGCTCCGCCCCCCCGCCCCAGATTCCCCGTGTGACCCTCAGTGTCCCGGGGCAGGTTCCCAAACATCCTCTGACTTGGAGCGTTCTCTCCCACCCCAGTTACCACCACCACTGCCACCCCACCCCCACCCCACCCCCCACACAGAGCAAGGCCAGGCATGGACTTCTGCAGGTGTTTCCTCCTCTCTGTCCCTCAGGATGTCCCCATGGGAGCTCTGCCATTGGTGTGCTGGAAGTGAGAGGCAGCCCTCATCCTCTGCAGCCCTCCCCCGCCTTAAAATGGGATCTGCATGTTCTTCTCATGTAGCACCAAAGCCAGGTGCTTGGGTGTCTGTCCTTTGCTACACTAGGCCTGTAGGAGGACAGCCACTGTGTCCTATGCATTTCTGTCCCCAGCACTGGCACGTAGAATGGCAGTGACTGCCTTAGCCAACCTGTGGAGACATTCAGCACAGGCTCTGGAGCCAGACTCCTGCATTCAAACTCCAGCTCTGCCACTTACTAGCTGTGTGACCTCAGGCAAATTAACTAACCCCTCTGTGCCTCTGTTTCCTCTTCTCTTAGATGAGGATTCTAATAGTACCAACCTCCCAGAATGCTGTGCAGCTCAGATGATTTAATGTATGTAAAGCTCTTCCCTCCAGATCTGGCACCAAGTGTTAGCTGTCACCCCTTCGTCATCATCATTATCGTCAATTGTTTCTCATGTGCTCTGGACTCCGCCAAATTCTTGAAATGATTTACTCCTCAAAACAACTCTTATTTCTCACATGAGGAAACCCAAGGCTCGGAGGGCTTAAGTAGCTTGACTGAGGTCCAAAGCCCAGGCTGCCTCACTTTGCTCTCCTGCAGCCCAGGACCAGGCAGGGGGGTATTCATCTGCTTAGCAGCTGAAGAAATAAAAACAAAAACCACTGGGCATCTAGGTCAGGAAGACTCTGCTAAGGAATCTCTTCTGTTTTCTTGAAAGGCTCAACCACAGGAATTATCTCTTGGAGTTTCCCCACAAGTACAGTGTTGCTGACCTCCAACAGGTAAGAGAGTATGCCCGCCTCCCACTCCTGAACCTCTCTGGTGGGAGCTGTCTCCTGGGAGTATCAGAAAGGGGGATGGAAGTATGAGTGGGGGTAGGCCTCTTCAACTTCTTAGTACCTCAGAATGGTGTTGCCCTGTTGCCTGCCCAAGCTTCCTGAGGCAGTCATAAGGCCCCCATAAGCCCCCCAGATCCTCCAGCAAACCCTAGGATCATTGGGTTCCTCAGCCTTTCTCAGTATCCAGACTCCTCCCTGATCTGGTGGACAATGGGTGGAAGGGCCCTGGGGGAGAGTTTGGGGAGGGTAGAGCCTAGAGAGTCCCATAATCCCCCACTAATCTCAGAGCATGAGGGCTAGACACCTACTCAGGGAGGTTTTCTTGCCTAAGTGAGACTTTGAAGTGGACATTCTCCAGGCAGGTGGCTGTAGGCCCAGCAGGCCCAGTGTCAGCACTGTTGACTAAGAGGCCTGGCGGCCTGGTGGCCTGCACTCTCCTCCACAGATTGCCGAGAGTGCATACGAAGGATTCCTCAAGGCCTTGATTGACTTTGCCTCCCAGCACGTCTATCACTGCGATTTGTGCACCCAACGGGGCTTCATTTGCCAGATCTGCCACCACAATGACATCATCTTCCCCTTTGAGTTTGACACCACGGTCAGGTATGTGGGACAGCGTCACCCCAGCCCACCATGCTCAGCCTGGCCCGAGTGTTCCAGGGTGGCAGACCAAGTTCCAAGACCAAGGAACACATAGTGAACCTTCACTCTGTGTAGGTGCTAAGGGGTGGTGGAGGTTGTCCAGAGCAGCCCACACTCTGAGCAGTCAAGGCTGGCTCCGATCCAACCTTGGACAAGCCCTTACAGAGCTCTGCCATGCCATCCACTGACCTACAGAAGTGGTGGCCCAGGCCCTCCCTCTGTGAATGGTTTCTGCCCTGTAGTGTAGCACAGGGCTGGCACCTAGTGGGCACCTGGTGGGTGGTGCACACTGCCGCCGCCTCTGCTGCTGTAATTATTGTCTTGTTCCCAGTGATTGCTCATGTATTTGAATGCTTTTAATAGCATAGCCTAGAAGCCTCTAAATGGGAAATTCATCCACCAAATGTTCATCCCAGTCCAAGTAGGGCTGGAAAACTGAGCTAGTTGAAGTAGGAATCCATTCTCAGCAGGTGTTCCCTGACCAGGATCAGCGTCTGAATGGGCAGAGAGCTAAGTTTTTAAAGCTGTACAGTGTTTTAAACATAAGTACGAAATCAATTTAGTGAGTTTCAGGCAGCATTTAAAAAAAAAACTGAACTAGAACAGAGCATATAAGAACATTCCACATCATTTACAGGTAAGACAGGGACTGCCTGCATGCACTGGCTTGTGGATTCTGATAGGGGTTCTGATGGGCCACCTGGCCAAACTCCTGCCCCTTCATCACAAGCAGCATTTGCTGCTGTCTCCCTAGGTGTGCCGAGTGCAAGACTGTCCTTCACCAGAGCTGCCAGGCCGTGGTGAAGAAGGGCTGTCCCCGCTGTGCCCGCCGGCGCAAGTACCAAGAACAGAACATTGTCACCTAATCCAGAGACCACAGGGATGAGGGTACAGCTCAGCCATCCTAGCTGCAGTTTGTATCAGCCTGGGCTGTTTCGTCTCCTGGTCAGAGAGCATCGGATGTGACCATCTGACAGCGCAAACCTCACTCGGACGGAGGAAGCCTCAGTGGTGTCTCACGGCCCCCAACTGCTTCCCACTGCCCATCTGCTGCTGAGGGCAGGACGCTGGCTGATGCCCCTTCCATGGGGCTCTTGGTACTCATAAGCCCTCACTGTCACCGGCTTCCATTGGGGCTGGGGAACATTTTCAATTCCATATTCTGAGTAAAAGGTCTAGTTTTATAAGGTGGGTTCCCTGCCCCCTTCATATTTCAACAGAAAATATTTTTTTATTCTTGACTGTGCACAAGTCACCCAGGAAACCCGGACATTCTCACCCCAAGTGAAGTGGGCAGGGCTGCTGCTCAGAGACTGTTGGCAGGACCCGGTGCCTTTCCTGTGCCCTTGCCAGGCATCAGTAGCTCGAGTGCCATGTGCCAAACTGCCCATCAGACAGGACAGTCAGTCCCACCTCACTGACCACCCTCTTCCCCTCTCACCTCCTGAAAAGCCTGTCCCCTTTCTCATGCCAGTCTTGGCTCTTCTCCAGCTGTGGATCTTGTCCCAGCAGACAACGAACGACAACGATGGCAGCAGTGGCGAAGTGACTCAAGACCAGCACTGTCAGCACTTTGAGCTTTCCTTGTCCCCGGGGAGGAGCTGCATCTCTCCCAGCCCTAACCCCAGGCCCTCCTCCCCCTCACCACACACAGAAGGAGAGGGACAGGGTGCCACAATAGACACTCCAGACGAGCTTTTGTGGGAAGCACCCCGGCCTGACTGACCCCTGCCATGGCAGGGAGATGGGCTGGGCCCACAGACAGGGCAGCAAGCCCAGGCCAGGGGCTGACCCTGGGCACCATGACTGCCAGGCTCGGCACTGTGAGGTGACTCCACCATTCGTGAAGAGATGTGCAGGGACCTGTGGAAGAAGCTAGCCCTGTGGAAGGATTTTTAGCTTGTTTTATAAGCCATTAATTCACAAAGCTTCACTGGACTTGCCCAGTAGGGGGCGTTGCTAGAGGCTGGAAACTCCTGGGAGCAGCATGGCCTTTTGAGGAGGTCTTGGGGCTGGAGTGAGGCCTAGAATTGTTTTCAAAGTGGTGTTTGGGCTCCTGGGGCTTTAGGGGGAAACATAAGCTTTATTTTTTTTTACTGCCTTCCCCGGCCTCTCCTGGACCCAGCAGCCCCTCTCAGCCATCTTACCTGCACTTGACTTGGAATTGGAGGCCTCTGGTAGACATACACCTGTCACTGTCAGAGGATGACTCTGTCCACTGCCCCTTGGGGTGACTTGACTGCTGAGTTCCCTGCCCTGCCCTGTGGAGCTGGATCCGTCGTGCATTGTGGTGGGCAGGCGGTGCAGGAGGAGGCTGCCACACAGCTGACCCATTAGCCCCATTCTTGCCATGGAAGATGGTGCAAATCTGTGCCCAGTGCACCAGTCTCTTAAACCATAAAGAGAACCCTGGCCTCCAACTCCCGTAGCTGACATTGATGTCCCAGCACACGCACGTAGCTACCCCAGAACCCTGGCAGTGCCACCTCAGGCCGTGTGAGTCAATTCCAGCAGGAGTGAAACCCTGGCCGAGCACCCTGTGGTTGGTGGGACCTTCTCCCACTGGAGATTATCAGCATTAGGACTCACCCTCTCCCCATTACCAAAAAGCTGCTAACACATCAGGTGAGCTGACCTTTCCTTCCCCCACCTCCAGTGGAAAGCTGATGTGAACCTCAGTAGTGGCCACATGACTCTGAAAGATGTTATTTTATGCAATAAACCATTTCTCGTGAGTGGGGCCTGGCCCTGAGAAGTACTTTGCAATGCATTGAAGAACTGCTGCTGTGTGATGTTTGAATGCTTTTACAGTAAAGATCTGATCTTTCTAATTACTAGTGTTGCTCTGCATCCCAACACTGACACTGAGGGGAAACCAAGAGCCATCTGCCATCCATCACCCACTTCAGTCAGTTCCTGGGCCCAGTGAAGGGCTCAGGTCCGGGGCAAACACTTGAAGGCAGGGGCTTGTGAACCCAGAGTGAGCACCGAGAAGAAGGTGGGCTTGTATATAACAACTGAAGCTGGTGCCTGAAATTCTAAACACAAATGGCGCTCTTCTGGGTCTTTAGTGTTGTAGTACAGACTCTAGACACTAGGACATGTGGAACTTGCAGACTGGATTTCTCACTGGGTTATCTATCGAGAGAGGGGTTCAGGAAGGACAAGTGGCTTAAGTGGGGCCCTTGGTCCTGGGCTCATGACTTCAGGGTTCCATGAACCTGAAGGGGGTTTACTTGGCTGTTGACCTGAAATTTCTGTAGCCCAGGGGTCCTGTGGGGGAGCCCCCCACTGGCATCATTGTCATGGGAGGAGGAAATTAGAGGAACTTGCAGGGAAATCAGAGTGCAAGGAAATGGGACTACAGACATTCAGGGTCCTGATCAGAGTTCTGTTGGTGAAGGTCCTACCCAGCCTGCAAGGGAACACTGTGAGCCCAGCTTTGCCTTCCTCCAGGGGCAGTACATGAAATCTTGAAGTGCTGCTAACTATAAGGTCTATGATTCAAACCCATAAGCCACTACTCAGAAACTATACAGGGTCACTGTGAGTCAGAACCGACTCAACGTTACTTAACAACGGGCAGTAGGTGGTGGGTTTGAAGAGAAAAGGAGACGGATGTGAGTTCCGGGGGGAGGCAGGCCCAGTAGAGGGCCAGGAGGGGTATCACTTGGGTACTGCTCTGCCTTTGGACTCAGCTCCTGTGTCCTCCACCAAGTGCTCCTGAGGCCGCCTGTCTCTTCCTTCCCCCTTCTGCCGAAAGAATGGAAAGGAGGCTTGGAGACACCAATCCCAACCCAAAGAGGGAAGGTTCCTCTCATAAAGTAATGATTGTTGACTCAGTGACCCTGCACAGGGTTTCCGAGGCTGTAAATCTTTACAGGAGCAGAACGCCTCATCTTTCTTTCGTGGAACCGCTGGTAGTTTCAAACTGCAAGGTTATGATAATAATAGCTAATATACTGAATTTCCCTTGCATTGTACTAACTATCACTCATTTTCCTAACCATCCTATAAAGTAGGTGTTACTGTCCCCAGTTTACAGGAAAGATGCAGAGATATGGCAAGTCTCCCAAAGTTTCAAGGCCAGGAAATGGTAGAGCTGGGCATGAGACCTGGCTGACCCCAGGCAAGAAACTTAATTACTACCAGTCCTGGTGTGTCACTGTGGTGTGTGCAGTCCAGACTGCAAAGTCGTTTGAACTGCAAGGTCAGTGGTTCAAGCTTATCAGCTGCTCCTTGGAAACCCTATACAGGGTTGCTATGGGTTGGAATTGACTCGATGGTACTTAACAACTGCCACCCTACCTGACTTGCTGGGTAACTCTGGAACCAGTGGGGATGGGCCTTAACATACTACATCCAGCCTCTCTTTTCTAAGCATGAGGGCCACCAGGGATGTGAATGCTGAAATCCTCTAGGTGCCTGGAAGAGCCCAAGGTGGCACCAGGCCTCAGACATACCAAGATAGTTGGCACAAAATGGAGTTGCTTGTGGGTAAAATTTAGCAGATTCACAGGCATGGAGGTGGGGGAGATTGGGGATGTGGGTGGCCAGGTTCCAATTCCACCAAAACCATCAGTCTTTAGGAGATGGTGTCAGGAGTCAAGGCCTGGGACACTAGGACTGGGGCTTGGCAAAGTCTAGAGAGAATATGCACGATTCAGCTGGAAAGAGACTGCCTTCCCAAAGATGCAGAATATTACTGAAGATACCTCCGGTAAGGTAGAGGTCCCTAGGGCTGGACCCAAGTTCCTGGCCTTCAGGAGTTGCTCCAAGTTTACACTTTGGACAGAGGGCAGAGTGGCTCCCTCCCCCACAAAGATCAAGGAGGGGGTGAGTCTGATCAGGAAAAGGCGGTGGGGAGGCTCCAGCCCCCCTCATCCAACACCCTGGCCCTACTGTCTCCTCCTCCCTCCCGGGAGATAGCCAGGTGTGGCCTAGGATTCCGGAGATGCAGAGGGAGGGGTGGCGTCTCTGCTCCTGGGGCGCTGGCCCGGCCCTGAAGGGACAGGAAGCCGGGACACCGGGGATTGTCTCTCGAAGCCGCAACCCAGCCTGGGAGGAAGTTCTGCCCGGCGCTCTCCGCCGGTGCCTCCCTCGCTATATTGTTGAACAGGAAACTCCTCAGCGCGGGAGCGGGACGGACGAGGAAGGAGCGCCCGACGCGAGCCTACGCGCGTTCGCTGGGATAAGTGGAAGCCAGTCCGCGGAGACCGGCGAGCGGGTGCCCGGAGGTGCGGGGCCAGGCTGGGGGCGTTTAGCAGCGCGGAAGGGTCGTGAGGGGTGGGAGACTCAGGTGGCCACCCTCCCTACTCCCCTGCGCACCGCACTAGAGCTGGAACTTCGAGGCCGGGGAAGGGGAGCCGCTGGGGAGTCTCCCGAAAAGCGGGAAATCCGGGTGCCGTAGGCCGGGGATGAGAGGGGTTCAGGCCCCCAGTGCCGACCCGGGCATTGGCGTCTCTGTGACTCGCGTTGCCCGGGCAGTGGACACAGGGCACCTCCTGGCTATGCGTCCGACCTTGAGCTCTGGGAGTCTCCTCACTCCCCCATCTCTCTCCTTTTCGCCTCCCGAGAATTGGGGAGGAAGCCAGACCCGGGCCCCCTCTACGTCCACCGCGGGACACCGCGCTCTGAGGGTGTCTCCGCCTTGGGAATCCCCCTCCGAGTTTTTCTAGGCCCCGCGCGACTGCCGGGCAAGGGCCTGGGGATAGGAGGTGAACGGGAACTGGCGGTGCCGCAGTCCCCTGGAGAGGGCTCCGGAGCGCGACAGCTTCGCTGGGATAGGGGTTGAGCCCGGGGGGGTGGGGTGGGGGTGTCCCAGAGTCGCCCGCCAGGGATCAGGGGCTCTAGAGCAACAAATCCCACCTGGGGGGCGGGGCAGAGGCGGGATCTCACCCCCACCCGGGTTCCGCGCCCCTTGGAACGCAGCACCCTAAACACCTCCCCCATGTCTTCTCTATCTCCGTGCTCCAGTCCCCAGGGTCCCCACAGACCCAGACCGCGGCATTGAGCTATGAGTTGGGATCAGCTTGGTGGCAAAGGGTTTTGCCCAGTTTCCAACCCAGACCAAGGCCCCTCTCGCTACTCCCAGACAGAGCTGCTTGGGAAATTGGGGACAGCCGGGTCCCTCCTGAGAGTCCCTCTCTCTCTTTGCCCTTCTCTAGCTCCTGGTCCTGGTGGTCTCTCGGTCTTGCCCTTGGAAACTCTGCCCAAAGACATGACGGAGACCTAATCTGCATCCACCCTCTAGTTCCGCCCACCCAGCTCATGGGCACCCTAAGGCCGGCCCTGTCTAAGTGAGTGCTCTCAACCGGTGGTCCCAGGAAGGTAGCGTGAAAGGGGTGTCCTCTCCCCTGGAACTTGTTGGGTCAGCTCTGGGTCCCTCACAGATCCCAACGTCCGGAGTCCAGAGTGTTAAGTGACTCAGTTTACATCCCCTTGCCCACCTCAATGAAAGCTAGAGAAAGTAGAGAGGGTGTGGTGCACTGAGCCCCAATCCCATGCCTGGGGTCCCTCAGCTTCAAGTGAAGCTGGGGTCCTGGGCCACCTTGTGGGGCAGGAGAAGGTGTGGTCAGTGTAAGAGTTTGAAGACCAGTCACTTTCGGAGGATGACACAGGCAAATTTACAGCCAAGATCCCGGTTAAGGCAGCCTGGGAGTGGGAAGATTGTGATCACTGCAGAAATGTGGGGGGTCCTGCGGTCACAAAGTCCATTTTCTCTTGGGACGGTGTAGGGAACACTGGGCAAGTAGGCAGACCGCGAGGGCCGAGCCTCCCTGTGGGAACGGAGGTGGTTGCTACAGAGTTGGGGGCGGTGCGGGCCGGTCTGGGCGGGCCGGGCTCCAGGTTCACGTCTGTGGCAAAGCCGCTGGGTAGGGAAGGAGAAACCGAAAGAACCGGTTTCCCCGCTTTGGCAAACGCAGTCCTGGTGCCCAGACCCTGGGACTAAGCGGGGCTGGGGCATCTCGCGAGCAGAGCTTTGCAAGAGCAGCCGGCAGAGCCCGCGCCCGGGCCCTGACCTGGCAGGCAGCATTCTGCCGGGAGGGGGCGCTGCTATGCCATCCGCAGACTCCCTGCAAACAGCAGGCGGCGGGAGGACAGCGGCCCAGATAATGTTTTGGCAGCTGTGCTGTCGATCACCCTAACTCTGAGCTGTTTTGCCAGGCACTCGGAAACCCTGTACAGGGTCGCTATGAGTCGGAACCGACTCCACGGCACATAGCCACCACCACACAGGAGCTCTGGTAGCGTAGTGGTTACGAATTGGGCTGCTAATCTCACGGTCAGCAGTTCGAAACCACCAGCTGTTCCGCGGGAGAAAGATGAGGCTTTCTGCTCCCGTAAAGATTTACAGCCTCAGAAACCCTGTACACAGGGTCGTTATGAGTCGAAACCGACTCCACGGCACATAACAACAACAGTTGAATCACTAGTATCCCTAACCTCTCCACCACGGAGCAGAAGCCAAACTCAAATCTCATAACCAGTGCCACCGAATGAAGAGGTTATTAGTCCACAAAATCTATAGATAGGAAAGTGAGACCCTGGCTCACAGGGCGAGTGCAGGATCAGGATTCGAACCGAGACCTCCTCCACTCCGACCCGGTGCGGTGTTCTTCCCTTCTCCGCGGCCTTGACTTCTTTGTCCTTTCCCACGCCACCCCTCCGTGTTGCCAGCAGAGAAGCGCCACGGCCGCGATGACAACAAAAGTCGAGAGGGACGTGTACGTGTTGGTGGAGCACCCCTTCGAGTATACGGCCAAGGATGGGCGCCGCGTCGCCATCCAGCCCAACGAGCGCTACCAGCTGCTGCGCCGCAGCACGGAGCACTGGTGGCACGTGAGGCGCGAGCCCGGCGACCGCCCCTTCTACCTGCCTGCGCAGTATGTCCGTGAGCTGCCCGCGCTCGGCGGCCCCGCTGCCACCCCGCCACCGCCAGCGCCCCACCCGGGCCCCATAGTCCCCGAGCCGCTCGCCTACGACTACCAGTTTGTGAGCGCGCCGGCACCCGCGGGCCCCGATGGCGTTCCCGCGGAGCCCCCGCGCCGCGCCGGCTCTCTGTGCGGCTCGGCTCGGCTCGGTGCCAAGGCCCAGCGCAGAAGCCTGGCGCCCGGCCAGCCCGCCTGCCTCTACTTGCGGCCCGCGGCGCCTGTGCGACCTGCGCAATCCCTGGACGACCTGGCTCGCACCGCTGCGCCTCCTGCCGGCCTCCTCGGGAGCACGGGTCGCTTCAAGGCCTGCAGCGTGGCGGGTTCGTGGGTGTGCCCACGACCCTTGGTGCGGAGTGGTTCGGAGAACGTCTACGAGGCCATCCAGGACCTGCGAGGTCCGCCGGAGGAGCGACGGGACCAGGTAGGCCACCCGTAGAGGAGGAGGGGCATGCTTCCTTATGAAGTCCCACTCGATGTCCAGTGCCCACTGGACCAGTTCTTAAACACAGGATACCAAGTTTCACGTTCCTAGCCACAAAACCAGCACAAAATCAGACTCACAATCCTTTTATCTGCATTTCCAAAGTGCCAGAACTCTGGGAGGCCTAAGGTTTTTCATAACTCAATTGGTGGCAAAAATTTACTTGAACTGTTATGAAGTCATTGTTAACCAAACTCTTTGCCATCAACTTATAGCGACCCTATAGGAAGGGAGTTACACCCTCGGAAACCCTGTACAGGGTCGCTATGGGTCAGAACTGACTCGACGGAACTTAACAAACAAACAAAAAAAAATAGGACACAGTAGAACTGCCCCATAGGGTTTTCTAGGCTGAGGCCTGGTGTGGCGCTGTGGGCAAATGCGCTGGACTGCAAAGTCGGTTTAAACCGCAAAGTCGGCGTTTCAAGCTCACCAGACACTCCTAGGAAACCCTATACAGGGTCGCTATGGGTCGGAACAGACTGGTACTTAACAACAACAACAACATCCCACTTAGTATGAATATTCATGTTTTGCTGAAGAGATGCTGTTAGTTGCCCACTGACAACCAACTCTTGCACAGAGCTAAATGTTCTGGTTCCTGCCCCATTTTCACTATTGTTGGTATGTTTGAGTCCATTGTTTCCACCACTGTGTATTTTGAGCCCTTTTTCTATGTAGGTGTTCATCTCCCTGCGCTATATCCAACAATATACTGTTGTAACCAATCGAGTTTTCATTTGTTAGATTTTAGGTGTGGATCATCAGGCCTTTCTTCCTAGTTTTTCTTTAGTATGGCAATTCCTTTGAAATCTGTCCACTATGGATCACCGTGCTGGTATTTCAAATACCAGCAATGTAGTAGCTTTCACATCATAGCAACACACAAGCCACCACAGTATGGCAGACTGACAAGTGGGTGGTAGTGTAGAAATGCAAATGAGCTTAATTACAGGTCCTGCTGTAACACTGTAGGATAAGCACTGGACTGAAAGCTCAGTTTAAACCACAAGGTCAGCAGTTCAAACTCACAAGCCACTCCTCAGAAATCCAGTACATAGCGACGGCTCTGAGTAGGAACTGATTCAATGGCACGTAACAACAGCCCCAACCATAGTATCTTTCTAAAATCCGAACCATTCTGTATTCCAAAACGTATCTGGATATGGAATAAGGGGTCAGGGTCCTGTGGCTGGCTCTACCTGCCTTGCCTTTCTCTCAGTAGTTTGGGTACTCACATGAGAAGATGAATGTGAAAGTTCGGCATCTGCTTCTCTTTTTAGCTGTCGCCAACATTTCGGTTCCTTTTTCTTTTTTTATTTAACTTTGCATGGCCTTGTTTCAGAATGATGTCCAGTATATTAAGAGATAATTTTCCTTTTGGATTCCAGTTATGTTAATTTGGGAAATAAATAAGAGAGTATGTTTTGAAACACTCTTACTTACATCCTCAAAATCATTGTGGGTAGCTCTAAGTTCTTGAACTTTAGTAACTGTTCAGAAGGGGCATCCTGGGAAAAAAAAAGTTGCACAGATCCTGTTCTGCTATCTGCTGCCAGCTGTTTAATTATGGGCAATTCACTTCCTCTCTTGGGGTCTTAGTTTGTTCTTTAGCCCAAAGGATGAGTGACTGAGGGAGGGGCTATGAATGGCCACTGACACTTGGTAGTCTCTGATTTCTGTCTCTGAACTTGATGGCATTACAACAAGGCCTGATGCTGGCCACCTGTCAGGACTGAGTCCAGGGTGCTGTGACAAGGAGACAACGATTCCTGTTTGCAAGATGCCTGGTCTTCCTGCCCTGTTACAGTTTCAGTTTTGAGGCTACTCTACTCTTCTTCAGTTACCATTTCATACTCATGGTGACCCACGTGTGTATCAGAGTAGAACTGTGCTCCATAGAGTTTTCAATGGCTGATTTTTGGAAATAGATATGTTGTTGTTAAGTGCTGTAGAATTGATTCCGACCCATAGTGACCCTGTATAGGGTTTCCAAGGAGCAGCTGGTGAGCTTGAACCACCGACCTTGCAGTTCAAACAACTTTGCAGTCTGGTGCATTAGCCCACAGGGCCACACCAGGGAAGTAGATAGCCAGACCTTTTTTCCAAGATGCCTCTGGCTGGATTCAAACCTCCAACCTTTCAGTTAGCAGTCACACATTAACTGTTACACCATCTACGGACTCTTTTCAAGCTACCAGACTCAAATATAATTCTGCTGGGTCACCTGTGGCTGCTGCCAAACCATTTATGTCTCCCAGCTTCCATGTAAACTCAGGACAATACCTAAGGATTAGGGAGGTTGAAAGTCTTTAATGAGGTGACCCATGGAAGTGTTTGCCAAATAGTAAGCAGTTTACCAAGACTGGCTGGGCTCCTATTAGTGAGTGCATCCTTTCCTCGTCAGAGCCTCCCTTTGCTCCAGTGTCTGTGGAAGACAGCCCGCCCTCTTGTGGCCAGTGGCCAGAGTTTGGGGATGGGGGCAGAGCAGGTGCTTGTGCCTGGCACCCCTGCCAGCCGGCTAAGCAGCTTCTCTATGATAGGTGTCCAGATGCCAGCGCTCCTTCCCAGGAGCCCCTCCATTTCCGGGACAGGCTCTCTGCCACACACTCCTAAACCTCTCAGCAGTCTCAGTCCTCCTGATGGTGGGAGGCGTTGTTTGCCATGAGAGGTGCTAACCTTGCTCTTCACTGTTGGAGACTGGCCTTGTTCTCTGAACCCCGCACCCGCCTGGCCCATAGAGTGTACACAGGTAATGTGGGTCGACGTGGGGTGAGGACAGCAGCCCCCTTATCCATGAGCTAGGATTCTGTTGTCTGAGTGGAAGACCTGCAGGCCAGGCATCTCCTGAGGAATCACCCCGCTGATGGAATCTCCTCTGTTCCCAGTGGTATTTTTTCCTCTTCTTCCTCCAGCTCCAGTTTCTACAATGCAGGAGGTCCAGGGTTATAAGGGGGAGAGCAGAGCTATAGATCCCACTCCTGGCCCTAGTTCACTGTGTGACCTGGACAAGTCAGTCAGCATCTCTGGTCCTGCCTTATCACCTGTGTAATGAGTATGATCAATTACACTGTCTGTGACGGTGCTTGACCTCATTCCCACTGCCCCTGCCAACATACCCCAGGGGTGGGGAGTTGGTTCTCTCGCCCCTGGGAAGAGGGCACCACCCTCATCTTCGTTGTTTATGGAGTCTTTAGGGAAGGAATTTCCTGAAAGGTGAGCCTACCTGTGTTCTCCTCAGACAAGGCCTAGAAGCAGGCCCCTTCTCCCCCATTTTCCTCCCCCTTCCGGTCCTTCTCTCCTCCATTCAGCGTGAACTGATTGGACAGCTATCAAGTACCAGGTGACCCCTCCGATCCTAAGATGACCCCTTTCCTCAGCCCTGGGAGCTTAACACTGGAGGGGAGGCTGGCGGGAGGGGACAGATGGCAGTCTGTGGTTGAGTTGCACTCGGGGCTCTGTGAGTGTGAACATGTGAAAGGGTGTGAGGTCCTGGAGTCCTACCCCTCACCTGCCGCCCCCTCCCTGCCCTCATGCGACTGAAGCCCAGAGCACCTATGGAAAGGGGCAGGGAGTGGATGGCACCGGCTGTGTAGGATCTGTGGGCTTTCTCCTGCCGCCAGATTTTCAGCAGAGAAAGGAGCAGGGCTGAGGAAAGGCCCCTGGGCCTGGGGCTTGCAGGTTTAGGAGGTGGACCTGGTGGACCTGGTGAGGAGGGAGGGAAGAGGGGAGGGAGGAGAGTCCGGTGAGCCCTAGCTTCCCAGCTTGTGCACCTGGTCAGATGGTGTAGTAAGTAAGGGAAGGGGTGGGGTAGGGGGAAATGTCATATTATGACTTTAGCCTGACTTAAAGGTTCCTTCCCTTCCAAGGTTTCAGATGTTGAGGGGTTTTCCAGCACTGCCTTCTGGGTAAGGGGAGACCCGCAGGACCCTCTGTGCAAGAGACAGTTGGGTAGACAGGTGTGCCACTGAGGAGGAGGCCTTCACTGTGTGATGGTGAGGCTGGGGGTGTGAGAGGGAGGAGATGGAGTAGATGGTGGGGAGGAGAAAGTGCCCGAGACA